TCTTATTTTCTGAAATTTAATTCTTAAGCTTCATTGAAATAAGATAATGATGGAGACCATATCTGCTCCTCACACTTGGCACCTCACAGGCGCCTCACATGTACATCCTGTCATGCATTGGGAGCATCTCCCATACTTATTGGTTATTATTCACGGGAGATGTTCCCAATGCATGGTGGATGTGCCTCTGAGGCGCCCATTTGTGAGGAGCAGATCCTCGTCACATAATGATGTGCACATTAATCATGAGGTTGTTTGGTATTGATGGCATTTATAAGATAAACGTTTTGTACGATTTTGTTTTGAAAAGCGAGACAAAATAAACTTTAAACATTTTGTACGATTTTTTTACACCTCAGCACCAATAGGCGCCACTAGACACCATTAGGCACCATAAGGCACCATATAAGCTAAATTGTGAAAAATCGGTCTTAAAAATGAAAAACATCAAAATTAGTGTTTTTTTAATAAACGGTTCACACAATTTTCAAGAGAGTCGTTTTTATGTTAAAGGCATTTCCAATGGTGAGCTGGCACCGTTTCTTTCAAAAGCTACATCGATACCAAACACCATCCATCTTCTTTTTTTTTTGTCATTTTCTAATTTTATTATTTCAATTTTACTCAAACTGTAAATGCCTGAATGGGCATTTTGGTAGATTTACTATACATTGTTAAATTGATTGAGAGAGTCGGACTTAAATGTCAATTTCTGAAAGTACAAAGTACACCATTGTCACGGGGAAAAACTGATGCCCTTAAGTGCCACTAGCCCAAATATAGTTATATAGGGTACCTCCATGTAATTTCTCCCATTTGTTACTAATTTCTCCCATTCACACGACGTGGCTTTGTTAAGCTCCGTTGAAAGGAACATCCCCCCTCAATTTTTTTTTTCTTTATCAGAAAAGGGTGCGAGAGGAATATAGAAGTGATCACAATTCACAACCAAAGAATATTAATTAAAACTTCTAACACGAAAAAGAAAATTCGGTGGTTGTCATATCATTACACAGACTTACAGAGCAACGTCCAAATTTAGAATAATTTTCCGCGGAATTTGTTCGCATTGGTCAACATCCAATGTTCATGGAGAATGCCAGAGCCAGTTGGGCAGGCTTCCTTGTTTTCGTTTTCGACAAGCTCATCTCCCGGTGGCTATGGATGGATATCGGCTTTCCTTCTATAGAACTAACTTTCCACGTGGCAAATCTATAGGGAATTCTTAAATCAGGATCTACCACTGTCAATTGTCATAAGCGCAAGAAGTGAATGTAAGGAAGAAGATATGCATCATCAGTTGTTGTTGTAATTCTGTAATGAAGGCGATTGAAGAAGCAAGAGAGCTTGTCAATTAGCTAGCGTGTGGGCTAATTTAATTACCAGCTAGCAATGGACTGTCTGTCTGTTTATGCATATGGGATGGGCTACCTACACTGAAAATTATAAATTAAAAGGACCCTTTCTTTCTTTCGTTCTCTTATGGCATTATTTGATGATTAGTATCTAGCATGTACAGACCCTCCAAAGTCCAAACAACAACGTGGGTCCCTCTAAAGTCTAAACCATGCATAAGATCTAAGACTGTGATGGGTATAAGAAAACGTCCATTTGGCATATTTGTTAACTACAGAATGAACTGAACACGCAGTTCAATTTGGCAAGGGTTTTTCTTTAATTTGTTCTTTTTCTATATCGCTAAAGTTGCAATTTCTCTCTCCTGCTTGTCGTGAACCCAAATTTCTAATATTCTTCCATGAGCAGAGCTCTATCTGCTCTCTCTCTCTGGGGAGATGGAGATCTCTCAGCTTGGATGGATCATGGATATATCTCTCCGCCTATTGGTTAACGCTCCCCCGGCATGAATATATACCCAATGTTCGTGTTGTTTTCAGATGCCATCTGGTTGGCTCCAGTGCCTTTGTCAATCTCTAAATAGAACAACAAAATAAATAAATGAAAGAGAGAGAGAAACACATGCAAGAGGGAGAGAGAGAGAGAGAGAGGTGCAAGCAAGTTTAATTCTTAGGAAGTTAAACATTGTTGTTTGGTTACTAGCTACGTGTGTATTCTTTATTTTGGCCGTTTCAATTAGTTCAATTTTAGTTGGATTTGAACTCTATTTTCTAATTGGAGCCTCGTTCCGATAAATATTGGATAAGAAAGTTAGGTTTGAAAGCTCAAGTAGCTTTTAGACCTAAAAGCGCTTAAGTTATAGGAGCTTGGAATTTCACAGTCTCTTATTATTATTGAAGGCGATTCCAAGCTAGTTATTTCATGTCTCAACCAGAAAACAGTTCCTCCTTAGAGCATAACTAACATTATGATCACATGAAGAATATGTTCGACAGAGGATTGAGGTACAAACACATGATCAGGTTGTAGATTGGTTGGCTCGTGAGGTACTTTCTTCTTCTTCCGATTCTTTGTTTTTTTTTTGTTTTTTTATAAAAAAGTTAATATATTTTTATATTTTATAAATATGTAATATATTTTGTAATATTAAATACATGTTATATTATATTCTATATATGTATGTTAATTAATTAAATTACATTCATAAATTTTAGAGCCAAACTTGTTTAGAATTGAACTTAAATGGAGCCTAATCAAACTCAAACTAAAGTCCAAACTCTTTGATTAAAATTTTTCTATAAGATCGCCTTCTCCTACTTTGTTGCTGTTGCAACGAAAAACAAGTTGTGAAATTGATTACTTAATCATTAATAGCATCCATGAAACTTTTGTTTTTTCCTACGACACACTCGCTATCATACTTTCCTAATACCTCCGGCATAAAACAAAACAAACAAAGTATATCAAGCATCAAACAGTGCCAAATGTCATGTTTGAAAAGAGTCCGGATCTCCTGCACTCAAAATGGTGTGAGCAGCGGTGCTCTTCGAATCAGAAATGAACACGTTTGTGTTTACATGTGCACCCTGCTCTCGTGTGTGAATGAGTACCAAAACGGTAAAACTTCCGTTAATTAATTTACAATATTATTATTTCTAGAACTCAAAAAAAGTTAAAAAAGGAAAAATAAGTAGAGAGAACCAAGTCTTTTCAGACTTCCTGACTTTGAACTACAAACAAAAACACCATCACACCATCAAAGCATAGTGCTATCCACCATTAACGACTTGCAGAAGACTTTTTTTCTTCCAAGCTTAAGCTCGTGGTGGAAAATCTACTTGTTTAGTTACTTGAATCTTTACAGCGTAACTCTTGGAAATATGAAATATATATTGGGATTCGGTCTTCTTTAAATCTTCAAAAGTTTCAATAACGTGTCACATGTCTTCTTCTTCACCAGTTAAAAACGACAAGAACAGAGTTGCTGCAACTGTAATTGAGGAAGCAAATGGCCAAACACTCTGTCTATTAGCAGTATAAGAAGAAATATGAATGAAGAAAATAATGCAAAAAAAAAAAGGGATTGTAGAATTTCAGACATTTCAAAATGTGCTCTGCAACTCGTAGTCAGGAGTCGAACGACTGAAATGTTCGGTCCTCTAACATCATACTATGATATTAAAGGATTTGGTTCTGAATTTACTTTCCCTTGGTGTTGATAATCCTGTAAAGAGGTATCTCTGTCCTTTGTATTTGCTTGGAGAAAAAATGATGCAATCATCGTTGTATATATGGAATTTGTTGAAGCAACACCATTTTCCATCCTACTGAATAGGCCTGAACTTCACTTTGGATTCTAAGAGATCCTAGGTTTCGTGTAAAAATGAAGAAGAATGGGGAGGTAAGTGTTCGAATTGTTCCCAGATCTCTCTCCGGCCCTTGTCCGCCATGTCTGAGATATGAGAATACTTCAAGAGAACCTCTTGTAATTCTATCCAACATGAAACTATATATATTATTTAAGCACAGACGGCAAGCTTCGCCCCTAGCTGAAGGTTGAAGAAGATGGTCTTTTGTGATCGTTATAGCACCTTGGTTTAATGAAGTTTTCTTTCAGAATCCAAGGGCGGCAAACCTCAAAAGACTTGGGTTCCCCTCTCTTTTTCTCACTTTTACCATTTTTTAATTTCAAAATTAAAATTATTATAATTTAACAGAAGTTTTACTGTTTGCTATATAAACGAGGTGGCCATGACGTGTTTATTTCTTATTCGAAGAGCACTGCTATTCATACCATTTCGAGTGCAGGAGATTCGGACTCGTTTGAAAAATGCCCTAACAGAAGGGAAAATAGATTTGAAAAGTGGAAAAAAAAAGGGAAAACTCTACATTTTGGGTAGTTTCAAGTTAGTACCTAAATTTTTATACGTGTCATTACAGTACTTGAATTTTTAAAAAGTGTTAAATTGGTCTCTACCGTTAATCAACTGTCAGTTATTGAAAATGTCAAAATTATTCTTAAAAAAAAAATACTATTCATTATTTTTTATCTTAAAATTGAACCCCTTGAGATGTTTGAGATTTTAGACTAACGAATTCATTGTCTAACAAATTATTGTCTAGTTATTTTGGACGATATCTTTTTTTGAAGGATTATTTCGATATTTTCAACAGATAACAGAAGATTAGTTAATGGCAAGGACCAATTTAACAGTTTTTGAAAATTTAAATAATATAGTGACACGTTTAAAAATTCCGATACTAACCTGACACAATACCAAAGTTCAGATTAATAAAGTGGAATTTTCCGATAGAGAAAAAAACTGAAAACGAAATTGCATAACCCGACAAAAAAGTTTATACGTGATCTTATCCGTAAATACGAACACCGTTGGATCATAATCTACCCACAATGACTGCAATCTAACGATTTACACCTCCGATTTCGAACCGTTAATTACCATTGATGTTGGTAAAATAGAAAAGGGAGAATGACCTAACCTTTTGTTCAAACGGTCGTTTCATTCAAAATAAGAACGTAATAAAAACATTTCTGATAGGGGTTACCGTCGTCATTTTTGTTTGGACCTATCAAAAAGCAATTCCCAGTTTTCCAGAACAAGAATATGTGAGTGAGAGAGAGAGAGAGAGAGAGAGAGAGCAAAATGCAGCTGTCACCAGCCCATTCCCATCCCGTATTCGTTTCTTCCCCCTTTTTAAACCCTTCTGCTCTCACTCTGCCCCTCACGCTCGAACACCGGGACCAGGACCTGAAGCCCGAAAATGGCGGCCTCACTTACCTTCCTTCTTCCTCATCTGTTCCTCCTCCTGTGTCTCCAACTCCAAAGCAGCATCAGCATAGCTGCTCCTGCAACACAAACCCTTAACCTCAGGCCAGAATACTACAATCCACAGCTCCCAGCCCATGCGCTCTCCTCCTCCAACAAGTACGAGGGCTCTTCCGACCTCGTCAACCTCCGCTACCACATGGGTCCTGTCCTCTCCTCTCCGATCAACATCTACCTCATCTGGTACGGCAAATGGGCTCCATCTCAGAAGCTCCTCATCAAGGACTTCCTCCTCTCCATCTCCGCCAACCATCGGGCCGCCCCTTCGCCGTCCGTCTCCGGCTGGTGGAGCACCGTATCTCTCTACACGGACCAGACGGGTGCCAACATCTCCCGATCGGTCCTCGTCGCCAGAGAGTACGTCGATCACCTTTACTCTCACGGGACTCACCTCACCCGTCTCTCCATCCAACAGGTCATCGCCAATGCGGTTAAATCCGCACCCTTCCCCGTCGATCACAAGAACGGAATCTACCTGATACTGACGTCCAGCGACGTCAGCGTTCAGGATTTCTGCCGGGCGGTGTGTGGGTTTCACTACTTCACGTTCCCGTCCATGGTGGGGTACACGCTGCCCTACGCTTGGGTGGGGAATTCGGGTAAGCAGTGCCCGGAAGTGTGTGCGTATCCATTCGCCATTCCGGGTTACATGGCGGGAGGTGGGCCGGGGTCGTTGAGGCCGCCGAACGGGGATGTAGGGGTGGACGGCATGATCAGCGTGATCGGTCATGAATTGGCGGAGTTGGCGTCAAATCCATTGGTGAATGCATGGTATGCCGGGGAGGATCCGACGGCCCCGACGGAGATTGGAGACTTGTGCGAGGGTTTGTACGGGACGGGAGGAGGGGGTGGGTACATAGGGCAGGTGATGAAGGACAGAGAAGGGAGGACGTTTAATCTGAACGGGAGGAGGGGGAGGAGATTTCTGGTGCAGTGGATATGGAGCCCCGTGTTGAAAGCCTGTGCAGGTCCGAATGCTTTGGACTGAGTGAGGGCTGAAAGTGATTAGTTTAGATGTATATGTTGTATTGTTGTATTGTTCATCGCTGAACACTCGTGAGTCGTGAGTCGTTAGTCGTCACCACAGACCACAGTACATGAGCGGTCGACCGAAGCAACCTTATGGCACTCTCTCTCTTCGTCCCTTTGCTCCAGGGATTTATTCTTACTTTTTTCTTTTGTATTTACATTTATATAATATACTTCTTATAAGTTAAGATACTGAACTGGTAGGGGAAGAAGGAATCTCTGTGTTTTGTTGTTCTTTTTTTAATTATTATTTTTTTTCTAGAAGACTACCGGAGAAATCTAAAATTACAGCCCAATCTCCATAATCTTGGGGTTAAGAATTTTTGAGGTGAGCTGAATAGTTATTCTTCCTTACTTAAAAAATAAATGTGTAAAGAGGATGAAGATATATATGTACGGTAGCATTTTTATTTTGATTAAGGTCATGTGTATGATTTAAGCACATCTAACGATTATGATTGAATGGGCTGGGGCATTTCTGTCGGCAGATTAGAATCTACTGAGAGTTTCTATACCCCACTTTGTAGAACGAATTCCCCCGTACGGTAGGGAGATTAGAATTGGTAGTTTTTCTTTGTAAATTATAGAACTCAAAAAAGGAGTATTAGCATACCACTATACCAGTGACCAATCACCACCCGATGAAGTGATGATGATGATGATCATTCATTTCCATGTGCTTGTGCTTGGGTTGGAGTTGGTCCCTTGTGGATGTCGGTTCGGTGCCAAACTTATTAGGTTTGAAGGATAGAATTAAAAGGATATGTTATGTGATGGAGCGGGACAAACCGGCTGGCTTGTCTTCAAACTTTTGAAGGGCCCCTGCCTAGAGGGG